AGTCATTTAACTGAAGTAGTTAGTATACAAACATGCGTTGAATTTCTTATTATCGCATAATTATACTTGAAATACCTATATTTCTCAATTTCAAAGTARTTTAACTCTATTACATGTTCACTTGCAGATAATGATTTTATCTTCTCGTGAGAGAGTTTTTCCTCAAAGCCGATAAAATCCGTCTCTATATTATACACGTCTTTTGATTTTTCTAAAATAACTTGTAGTTTTCTTTTTCCAAGGTCATGTCTACAGCAGGAGTCGAAAAATTACAAATAGCATTAATGGCACAGGTAAACCATTCAAATTATCCAAATGCTACGATCATATATAATGGTATGACAATTTGGTATCTTGAGATCTCTTCATCCTTATCGATGTTAATTTTTAGCTCTTTTTACATGTATTGGATTCAATGTAAAATCTGAACGAGCTGCTTCTTGCTAGATTCTCACAAGCAACCAAAAGAAGGAATCACGGAGTTATAAACACCTGTCCTTGACATTACAAAAATAAATAGGGAAATTAGATAATAACCGAAACTCATATGAAGTGACTTTCTTTCTTCTGTTTTTTTTTTTTTTTTTAGATCAGTCACAAGAATCTCATTATTTCTTGTTTGTTACAACTGGATTCCTGTGAAAATGTTCTTACTTTTGGAAAGGCAAAGGCTACAGAAACTGAGAAAAGGTATTTCATTCAAATGACGTAATCTATTTGATGAAAATCTTCAGTTTTATTTCAAGACGGGAGAAGAAAGACGGGTGTAGCTTTTTCTAGTCCTCTCTGCTTACCCTATTGTTCTCGTGTATGTGGACAAACCCCGCGATTTATTATTGTGTATAGCTCTCAATAAAATAAAATAGTTTATACACACTTTGCATTTAATATTATACAAAATCACAATATATATCAGTAGAGTATACTAGTCCAATCCCAGACCTTTTTTTGACCCGCTCTCAAAAAATGGTCTGGGACTGGGCTATAGAGTATACCTGTTTTTTAAAGGGAGGGACTATCACCAGTATCATCACGTGATCATTCGCTCACAAGTCGACGCAGTTCTGTGGAAGAGAATCAAATTTTAAGTGCGTACTCATCTAAACGACTGGACCGAGAGTTTGAGAGAAAACTWCAGGAAATCTTTATCTCAGTGCAGCTAGAAAAGGTAAATTATCGACCACATTGTTTGTGAGATGTTCAGTATATTTGCCTTGCACACGTTTCTTTCGTCCCTTACCCTTTCAAAACAATAAWTTGTAATAAGTAATAATTTGTAGTAAAGCATGAGTTGTGCTTTTTTTTCTTAAATTGGTTTGCCTGTGTAATTTTGGATAAACTCAAAGTCGCTATTTGGGGATGTTCCACAGCTGGGATTTTTTTTGGACTTTAAATATGTTGTTTAGGTTGACTAAACCTTGCAAAGTACACTGTTAAAAATTCTATTGTAATTTGTTCCAACCCAAACCTCTGGGTGACTGAACTATAGCTCGTTAAAACTACACGTATCGGCATAAAATACCACTGGCAGGCAATGAGCGTATTCATTGTTACGCTTTTATCTGTTACATATTTATAATCAAATCTTCGTTTCATTTATATGTGTGCCGTGATAATCAAGACCCTTTTTTCCTTCCAGACTGTATTGAGGGACAAAATGTTGAATGAATACATTCGAAAGAAAGATCAGCTTGGTGTCATGTTGAAGAACATTGACGAGGTAGTCAAACTTAAAAGGTACGACTGAAAGTCTTGCGACAGAACATGTTATTTTGACACTTTCCGAGGTATTGCGTAGAAGTTTAAGAAAACAGACATGATTTACAAACAGACAAAGCAATAATAAAAGCACAAATTTTCAGGATGTGGACCGTGCTTTTTCTAAGGTATATTAAAGAGTCCCAATCGCTTCAACACTACCAGATCATGTGACATGGATAACTTTGAACCGAAAATTAAAAAATATTTTTTAGACTGGGAAATTTTAGAGATAATCCAGTTCTCTTTTGAACTTTAAATAGATCCTCATTTAGACTTTGTTCGCTTATCTTCACAAAACTAGATCCGATTTCCTCCAAAACCTTGATTTTGAAAACTATCATTCTATACCTAGAAAGTGTCAAAACATCTTTTRATATGTGGCCTGGCAAAAAGTTACACCTCCTCAAACGTTCCTGGGTCAGTCAAGCGAAAAAAAAAACTAAACCAAAAACAAAATAGAATGAAAAAGTTAGGAAAGGGAATTCAACCAAGTGCGCATTCCAGCATCAAAATGTCTCTTATTGTATTCGTGTCGATAAGACTTCTATGTTACACTCCTAATTGTCGTGTTTTGTTATGATATTTTGCTCTTTATGTGTATTTACTATAGGAAACTCATAACAGACTTTTGTGCCGATGTTAACAAAAGAGTTTCACAGTTTTCACTCCAAGCACAGGTTTGTATCTGATTAAATACTGTTGGTATAAACATACTAATGGTCTATCACTCATACTGCGCTGTGATTGGCTACTCTACTATAATTTGTGATAGACCACTCGCGGGAAATTCAAAATGGTGGCATCTCATTAATAAATTATATTAAGGATATTTTAAATTGTTTTCATTATTTGACCAATTAGTATGTTTATACTAATTGCTCGCGGACTCGGCCTCATGGGCTATTAGCTCGTAGTCCACTCGCCCTCGAGGTCTAATTGTTAAATATGATATGATATGCAACTGGACACCATTTCATGACTGTCTTCTTATCTGCGGCTTTTAGCTAATTTTCTCTATTTTTCCCAAAGATTATTGCTTACACCATAACACTGCAAAATTTGTTGAGCGATTTTCCCACAACAAGGGACGCCCATTTTATATTTGGTGAAGAAGACGAGAAGAAGAATGATGAAGATGATGTTGAGCCACATCCAATGTAAGACAACAGTTTAGAAAATAACTCTTATTTAGCTTACGCATTGATTTGAAAAGAGTGTTGATTTAAGYGAGAAATGAGCTTCTTCAGTACCGTATTTTGCTACGCTCATAAACGCACTTTTTGGTATGTTATTTTTTTTAAACAAAACGTAAATTGACACTTTTTTCAATGAAAACCGGCTTGCAATAAATCTAAACGAGTAGCTGTCATGGATTGTCGTGCCATTTATACCTGTAGCTGTACGTAGTTACATGGTCTTGCATTCAAATTTGAACGAGTCAATGTCCAAGTCGACCTTTCTAGAAAACATTTTAGATTTTTTTTAAAAACTCAACAGGTCCTTAAAGCAACGTTCCAGGCGACTACTGTCCGTTGATGGTAAACGATTGCTAAACTTGTGGTTTATTCCGCATTATACTGAGGTGAACCAAATGTAACTTGTCAGTACTTTGTTTGTTTGTTTGTTGTTCTTGTGTTATATATATTGCTTACTAGTATTGCTATAGTTGAAAGCCAAATATATAACGACAAAATTTGTCCGTGTACAGTGCCTACTTCCTTTTTTAGACCTCTGTCTATTAATTCCTTTCCCAATGATGCGGCAATAATAATGAAAACCGATTCAGTGAGATAATGAAACTAAATGTTAATTTTTCCGCTATTTTAGTACCAAATCATTAGATGAAACTGCAGCAGATCTTTTTTTCAAGCTGAGAAGCAGCAGTTCTTTTTTTTTCAAGCTGATAACAGATTTAAGAGCAGTACAGGAAAAAGAACATATGGACTTTTCACTATATTTTACGATTTATTTATTTGCAATTTAAAGTCAAGAGGTAGGACACAAGAAATCAGCGCTCAATACAAATTTAAATATAATTACTCTTCCAGCTACTCAAGATGTTTGGAAAGATGAAAATTGAATCACGAAACGTTTGCYTAAGAGTAATTTTGGTAAGTCACTTCTAGATACTCCTTTAGGTGTTTCTGATTGCATTACTAATCGTGCTTTTATGGTGCAACAGCAGCTTATTTTTAGCTCAAAACAATCGAATGCTCTTCTATTTTAAAAACCACAGTTAAAGCATTTGTTAAAATAATGTCGAAGCGCTTTAAATCGTTGAAGTCAAAATTCTGCATCTTGATCATCGATATTTTCAAAAAAACAAGACAGACTGCATTCAACTCCAGGTGCTCATGATTTTTCCTTGGAAATGCACATTCTGAGGAGGAACGCTGAGATTGCGGTGGTCAGATTCCTTTGTAAATAGATTCGGGATGCGTTTACCGTTTGATCTTCGTTATATCGATCCTTTCAATTGTTCTAGTTTATTATGACGTCACATCAAAACATTCTATTGTTTTAACGCTAAGGATTATGGTCGCCAGAAGGTATCAGAGTGACTGCATTTCAAATAAAAGGTACATGAACAATCATTTATACATGATATATATCAAAACACGATTCATTGAAGTTCTACTTTAGTAGACAATATAAATGGGTCCAAATTTCCACTGTTTTTGAGCATCGTTTTCCGATGTAAACATACTGTGACGTCATAATGAAATAGCGCAATAGTGTTGGACCGATGGTGCTTTTCATAGAAATCAAGCCACGTTTGACAAATATGAAGCAAAAACATATGCGAAAAATATTACAACATGCACAAAAGTACAGATTTCTTATGATCTTTCTCAAACAACACTTTAAAAAATTATCAAAAAACGCATTTGTGTATACATATATCGTGTCCTGGACCGTCGACATCTATGCCTTTTAGATTCCCGCCAAATTCGAAATGGCGCAACATGATTGGTCAAATGTAAAACCCGGGATTCACCTCGCGCTGTGTCCAACAACACCTGGATAAGTTCTTAAATTTCTTCTCCGCGTGTTTTTTATATAAATGACTATAGCTACGTTTTCAATTCTCTGTCTTGTAGCTGCATTCCCACATTAAAAAACAAAAACACTCTGGACACAAACTTCTAACTTATGCAAAATTTCGTGATGGTTACTCGAATATAGAGGTGATTGTATGTAGTGGTTTTGGTCGTCACATTTGCTGAGAACAAAGAATAGCCGATTTGCATTATGGCGAGTCATTTACTACAACTACCAGAATGCTTTTCCAACTTTCTTTTGTAATGCAATTAGTGCCAATTGTTTTATTAATCTCCAAGGGGATTAAAAATCTGAATATCAATGAAAATGCGCAAGGCTCTCTGGTAGTTGTAGTAAAGTTACGTCATAATGCAATTGGCCTATTGGGACTGGAAGTTTTACTATGTAAAGTGATGAAAAGGCCCATGCACAAATCCATAGCTGTATTTGTCGTATTTGTCTGTCGCCTTCGTTCTCAGCAAACAGAACTTTTTCCAATTCAAAGCAATACGACTTTCAAAAATGGAGGTAGTTCACGACTTTATTAGGGACTAATGACGAATCTTGGTCCATTGGCTTTCCATCATGACGATGAAGATCGCAAGCATGTATAGTGTCCAAAAGTTTGAAAGATGTATTTTTATGTTATTTATAACAA